ATCCTGTGAGTGGTAGTGGACCCCATACCCATCCTGTGAGTGGTAGTGGACCCCATACCCATCCTGTGAGTGGTAGTGGACCCCATACCCATCCTGTGAGTGGTAGTGGACCCCATACCCATCCTGTGGGTGGTAGTGGACCCCATACCCATCCTGTGGGTGGTAGTGGACCCCATACCCATCCTGTGGATGGTAGTGGACCCCATACCCATCCTGTGGGTGGTAGTGGACCCCATACCCATCCTGTGGGTGGTAGTGGACCCCATACCTAACCTGTGGGTGGTAGTGGACCAACATACCCATCCTGTGAGTGGTAGTGGACCCCATACCCATCCTGTGGGTGGTAGTGGACCCCATACCCATCCTGTGGGTGGTAGTGGACGCCATACCCATCCTGTGGGTGGTAGTGGACCCCATACCCATCCTGTGGGTGGTAGTGGACCCCATACCCATCCTGTGGATGGTAGTGGACCCCATACCCATCCTGTGGGTGGTAGTGGACCCCATACCCATCCTGTGGGTGGTAGTGGACCCCATACCTAACCTGTGGGTGGTAGTGGACCACCATACCCATCCTGTGGGTGGTAGTGGACCCCCTACCCATCCTGTGGGTGGTAGTGGACCCCATACCCATCCTGCTACCCCCCCCCTTCCCTCAAGCACAACCACGTGTAATTAAACTACACAAAGATAATACTGCGCATTCGGACAAGTTCCTTTATAATTAAGTCTCCTTGATGACGTCAGAGACACAGAAATTGGTCTTGTTTTCAAACGTTCCAATTCGCATTAATTTTGTTGTATAAGGAACTCTGAATTATTACAACCCGTCCTCATCAACACCAGCCCGTCCTCATCAACACCAGCCCGTCCTCATCAACACCAGACCGTCCTCATCAACACCAGACCGTCCTCATCAACACCAGACCGTTCTCATCAACACCAGACCGTCCTCATCAACACCAGACCGTCCTCATCAACACCAGCCCGTCCTCATCAACACCAGCCCGTCCTCATCAACACCAGACCGTCCTCATCAACACCAGACCGTCCTCATCAACACCAGACCGTCCTCATCAACACCAGCCCGTCCTCATCAACACCAGACCGTCCTCATCAACACCAGCCCGTCCTCATCAACAACAGACCGTCCTCATCAACACCAGACCGTGCTCATCAACACCAGACCGTCCTCATCAACACCAGACCGTCCTCATCAACACCAGACCGTCCTCATCAACACCAGACCGTCCTCATCAACAACAGACCGTCCTCATCATCACCAGACCGTCCTCATCAACACCAGCCCGTCCTCATCAACACCAGCCCGTCCTCATCAACACCAGACCGTCCTCATCAACACCAGACCGTCCTCATCATCACCAGACCGTCCTCATCAACACCAGCCCGTCCTCATCAACAACAGACCGTCCTCATCAACACCAGACCGTTCTCATCAACACCAGACCGTCCTCATCAACACCAGACCGTCCTCATCAACACCAGCCCGTCCTCATCAACACCAGACCGTCCTCATCAACACCAGACCGTCCTCATCATCACCAGACCGTCCTCATCAACACCAGCCCGTCCTCATCAACACCAGCCCGTCCTCATCAACACCAGACCGTCCTCATCAACACCAGACCGTCCTCATCAACACCAGACCGTCCTCATCAACACCAGCCCGTCCTCATCAACACCAGCCCGTCCTCATCAACACCAGACCGTCCTCATCAACACCAGACCGTCCTCATCAACACCAGACCGTCCTCGTCAACACCAGACCGTCCTCATCAACACCAGACCGTCCTCATCAACACCAGACCGTCCTCATCAACAACAGACCGTCATCATCAACACCAGACCGTCCTCATCAACACCAGACCGTCCTCATCAACACCAGACCGTCCTCATCAACACCAGACCGTCCTCATCAACACCAGCCTGTCTTCATCAACACCAGACCGTCCTCATCAACACCAGCCCGTCCTCATCAACAACAGACCGTCATCATCAACAACAGACCGTCCTCATCAACACCAGACCGTCCTCATCAACACCAGCCCGTCCTCATCAACACCAGACCGTCCTCATCAACACCAGACCGTCCTCATCAACAACAGACCGTCATCATCAACACCAGACCGTCCTCATCAACACCAGACCGTCCTCATCAACACCAGACCGTCCTCATCAACACCAGACCGTCCTCATCAACACCAGACCGTCCTCATCAACACCAGCCCGTCCTCATCAACACCAGACCGTCCTCATCAACACCAGCCCGTCCTCATCAACACCAGACCGTCCTCATCAACACCAGACCGTCCTCATCAACACCAGACCGTCCTCATCAACACCAGCCCGTCCTCATCAACACCAGACCGTCCTCATCAACACCAGACCGTCCTCATCAACACCAGACCGTCCTCATCAACACCAGACCGTCCTCATCAACACCAGACCGTCCTCATCAACACCAGACCGTCCTCATCAACACCAGACCGTCCTCATCAACAACAGACCGTCCTCATCAACACCAGACCGTCCTCATCAACACCAGACCGTCCTTATCAAGCGCTTCACTGACGACTTTTGTTCGAACCACAACGCTGTAAAAGCCTCACCCTTATACTATATATTGGCGCCGGCTAGAAGCAATGGGGAGAGTTTCTTTCACCCTAATGCACCTGTTACCTAGCAGTAAATAGGTACCTAGGAGTTAGTCAGCTGTCACGGGCTGCTTCCTGGCGTGTGTGTGGTGTGGGGGAAAAAAAATAGTAGTTAGTAACAGTTGATTGACAGTTGAGAGGCGGACCGAAAGAACAGAGCTCAACCCCCGCAAGAACAACTAGGTGAATACAAGTAGGTGAATACAACTAGGTGAATACAACTAGGTGAATACAACTAGGTGAATACAACTAGGTGAATACAACTAGGTGAATACAACTAGGTGAATACAACTAGGTGAATACAACTAGTTGAATACAACTAGGTGAATACAACTAGGTGAATACAACTAGGTGAATACAACTAGGTGAATACAAATAGTTGCCAACAGAGCCTAAACATCTAACCTAATCTTATACCTAAATATACATAGAAACTTCAAAATTAATATTCATTTATACATGAGAGAAAAAAAAAAAAACATTTTTAATAAACAATTCGTTAAAATTGATATATGCATCTTGGGGGGGGGGGGGAGGGTTTCTTTACATATATTAAAGTTTATAACCTTGGGAGAACTTCACAACGCGAGATTATTATTGTTATAAACAGCTTCGGAGCTCACAACATGTTTTATAATTGTTAACAAACCCGCCATGATTGGGGAAAGATGTACAGGTTTCGTAAGTGGTTGCGTTTGCTTTAGGAGTTTATGGTGAGCCCGTATAAATGTAATGAGTGGGATTGGGTGGTTATAAATAGGAGCTGCCTCGTATGGACCAATAGGAGCTGCCTCGTATGGACCAGTAGGAGCTGCCTCGTATGGACCAATAGGAGCTGCCTCGTATGGACCAATAGGAGCTGCCTCGTATGGACCAATAGGAGCTGCCTCGTATGGACCAATAGCAGCTGCCTCGTATGGGCCACTAGGAGCTGCCTCGTATGGACCAATAGGAGTTGCCTCGTATGGACCAATAGGAGCTGCCTCGTATGGACCAATAGGAGCTGCCTCGTATGGACCAATAGCAGCTGCCTCGTATGGACCAATAGCAGCTGCCTCGTATGGACCAATAGGGGCTGCCTCGTATGGACCAATAGGAGCTGCCTCGTATGGACCAATAGGAGCTGCCTCGTATGGGCCACTAGGAGCTGCCTCGTATGGACCAATAGGAGTTGCCTCATATGGACCAATAGGAGTTGCCTCATATGGACCAATAGGAGCTGCCTCATATGGACCAATAAGAGTTGCCTCATATGGACCAATAGGCCTTCTGCAGTTACCTTTGTTCTTATGTTCTTATGTTCTTAAAAGCTTTGCTAAAGTCAAGGTACACAACATCACAGACCTTACCACTATCAACTGCCTCAACTATGCTGGAATAAAAAGACAGCCAATTTGTTAAACATGAACGGCCAATATAGGGCGTGGCGTGGCATGGTCTGTATAATACAGGGACAAGGAGGTCCTCCATGAGGTTTATATTAGAGGGGAAAAACACAAGTTGGCGTGTGATGTTAACTGTTGAGAGGGGAAACATTACTGGTTTAACTGTGCCAGTGTTGACTTACGGCTGGTCTGGGCACGGCGGCAGTGTTCCTTTATTATTATTATTAGTAGTAGTAGTAGTATTATTATTGTTTTCTGCCACAGACGTGGCCGGACATTTACAATGCTAATCAGGATATATAAATTTTCTTCTGTCCTCCATGGACAGGTTTTTATTATTATTATTATTTTCTACCACAGACGTGGCCACACATTTACAATGTTAACCAGCATTTTCTTCTGTCCTCCATGGACAGGGTGAGAGACCTGTTAAACATATAGTTCAGTGATGTATTGAACAATCAACCACACAAGGTGATTGTAGTGCTTATAAAATGCTAACCAAACCTACAGACATAAATACACAGATTAACGTCTGCCTTTCATAAATTATATCCAAATTTACTAGATTTCAAAATAGTAAATAAATACATTGAATGAAGAAATCCACAAGGGCCGTGACGAGGGTTCGAACCTACGTCCGAGAGGATCCCAGACGCTGCCTTAACCGACTGAGCTACGACATGGTATAAGAATTGCAACCGGGAAATCAACTTGACCTACCACGGATCCTACAGTCTCCCCGAGACAGGTCAAGTTCACTCTACACACAAACAACAAATCCTGCCTGGTTGGAATGATCACGTTAAGGGATTTCCAATATATATATATATATATATATATATATATATATATATATATATATATATATATATATATATATATATATATATATTTATTTATTTATTTATTTATTTATTTCAGCTTATACTATGGAAAGATGCTCCGAGTGTCCCAGAGATACCCCGAGTATACCAGAGATACCCCGAGTGTACCAGAGATACCCCGAGTGTCCCAGAGATACCCCGAGTGTCCCAGAGATGCCCGAGTGCCCCAGAGATGCCCGAGTGTCCCAGAGATGCCCGAGTGCCCCAGAGATACCCCGAGTGTCCCAGAGATGCCCCAGATATGCCCCGAGTGGTCCAGAGATGCCCCGAGTGTCACAGAGATGCCCCGAGTGTCCCAGAGATCCCCCGAGTGCCCCAGAGATGCCCCGAGTGCCCCAGAGATACCCCGAGTGTCCCAGAGATGCCCCGAGTGTCCCAGAGATGCCCCGAGTGCCCCAGAGATACCCCGAGTGTCCCAGAGATGCCCCGAGTGCCCCAGAGATGCCCCGAGTGTCCCAGAGATGCCCCGAGTGCCCCAGAGATACCCCGAGTGTCCCAGAGATGCCCCAAGTGCCCCAGAGATACCCCGAGTGCCCCAGAGATACCCCGAGTGTCCCAGAGATGTCCCGAGTGCCCCAGAGATGCCCCGAGTGTCCCAGAGATGCCCCGAGTGTCCCAGAGATGCCCCGAGTGTCCCAGAGATGCCCCGAGTGTCCCAGAGATACCCCGAGTGCCCCAGAGATACCCCGAGTGTCCCAGAGATGTCCCGAGTGCCCCAGAGATGCCCCGAGTGTCCCAGAGATGCCCCGAGTGTCCCAGAGATGCCCCGAGTGTCCCAGAGATGCCCCGAGTGTCCCAGAGATACCCCGAGTGCCCCAGAGATGCCCCGAGTGTCCCAGAGATGCCCCGAGTGTCCCAGAGATGCCCCGAGTGTCCCAGAGATGCCCCGAGTGTCCCAGAGATACCCCGAGTGTCCCAGAGATGCCCTGAGTGCCCCAGAGATGATGCCCCGAGTGCCCCAGAGATGCCCCGAGTGCCCCAGAGATGCCTCAAGTGTCCCAGAGATGCCCTAAGTGCCCCAGAGATACCCCGAGTGTCCCAGAGATGCCCCGAGTGTCCCAGAGATGCCTCAAGTGCCCCAAGTGCCCCAGAGATACCCCAAGTGCCCCAGAGATGCCCCCAGGTCACACCCAGCATCTGGACTAAAGATCAACAACCAATTAAAAGAATTATGCAGAAGAAAAATAATATAATGTCATTGGGGTTTCTGCTGTATATATATGAGAAATATATCTATGGAGCTAACCAAGACCCTGGTTCGAGCCCCGTCGTGCTCTAAGGATTATATACATCCCATATGGTATACATGGGATATGTACACTGACGGATTATCTTGAGATGATTTCGAGGCTTAGCGTCCCCGCGGCCCGGTCCTCGACCAGACCTCCTTTTTGTTACACACCCCCCAGGAAGCAGCCCGTGGCAGCTGTCTAACTCCCAGGTATCTATTTACTGCTAGGTGAACAGGGGGCATCAGGGTGAAAGAAACCTTTTGCCCATTTGTCTCCGCCTCCACCGGGGATCGAACCCGGAACCTCAGGACTAGGAATCGGTAGCGCTGTCCACTCAGGGACGATATTGCCAGTAGAGACCCGGACCTGGCACCGTTACCAAGCATCCGTAAATCCTTATTGAATATTAACGAAGACATCGTTATGTATCATCCATCATGCTGGTGAGGGTGTGTCCCCTTGATCACGCTACTCACTCTCATACACACTGCTTACGCTACTCACTCTCACACACACTGCTCACACTACTCTCATACACTTCTCACACTACTCACTCTCATACACTGCTCACACTACTCTCATACACACTGCTCACGCTACTCTCTCACACACTGCTCCCGCTACTCTCACACACTGCTCACACTACTCACTTTCATACACACTGCTCACGCTACTCTCTCACACACTGCTCCCGCTACTCTCACACACTGCTCACACTACTCACTCTCATACACACTGCTCACACTACTCACTCTCACACACACTGCTCACACTACTCACTCTCACACACACTGCTCACACTACTCACTCTCACACACACTGCTCACACTACTCACTCTCACACACACTGCTCACACTACTCACTCTCACACACACTGCTCACACTGCTCACATACACACTGATCACGCTACTCACTCTCACACACACTGCTCACACTGCTCACATACACACTGCTCACACTACTCACTCTCATACACACTGCTCACACTACTCACTCACATACACACTGCTCACACTACTCACATACACACTGCTCACACTACTCACTCTCACACACACTGCTCACACTACTCACTCTCATACACACTGTTGACGCCAATTCTCCAAAATGAATTTTGAAGACTAATATTTTTCTTACCACCGACAGTGAAGAAAAACATAAGAAACATTGAAACAATTCGTGTTAGAATTATTAATCTTACTTTTTCGGTCATATTCAACAACATATCTATACTCCTCACCATACACCTATACTCACCATACACCTATACTCCTCACCATACAACTATACTCCTCATCATACAAGTATACTCCTCACCATACAACTATACTCCTCATCATACAACTATACTCCTCATCATACAAGTATACTCCTCACCATACAACTATACTCCTCATCATACAACTATACTCCTCATCATACAAGTATACTCCTCACCATACAAGTATACTCCTCACCATACACCTATACTCCTCACCATACAACTATACTCCTCATCATACAAGTATACTCCTCACCATACAAGTATACTCCTCACCATACACCTATACTCACCATACAAGTATACTCTTCATCATACACCTATACTCACCATACAAGTATACTCCTCACCATACACCTATACTCACCATACAAGTATACTCTTCACCATACACCTATACTCCTCACCATACAAGTATACTCCTCACCATCTTATCTTGAGAGGTTATCTTGAGATGATTTCGGGGCTTTTTAGTGTCCCCGCGGCCCGGTCCTAGACCAGGCCTCCACCCCCAGGAAGCAGCCCGTGACAGCTGACTAACACCCAGGTACCTATTTACTGCTAGGTAACAGGGGCATTCAGGATGAAAGAAACTTTGCCCATTTGTTTCTGCCTCGTGCGGGAATCGAACCCGCGCCACAGAATTACGAGTCCTGCGCGCTATCCACCAGGCTACGAGGCCCCCCCTACTCATACAAGTATACTCTTCACCATACACCTATACTCCTCACCATACAAGTATACTCCTCACCATACAAGTATACTCCTCACCATACACCTCACCAAACAAGTATACTCCTCACCATACAAGTATACTCCTCACCATACAAGTATACTCCTCACCATACACCTATACTCCTCACCATACACCCCCAAAAGAGGGTGTACCTGTCCTCACACTTAATACATCATATATTTAACGCTCTGGACCCCAACGTTAAAACTATAGTGCTTTAGAGAAATTAAAAACGTTGCAAAATTTACGTTTTCTGGGAATTAATGTCTGGAGAGGAAGTCTGTTAGGCCTAGCGAGGTCTCTATCCCTTAGGCCAGTTACTGACTCCCCCCCCCCCCCACAGGATGGAACCCCACAACAGTTCCCTAACTCCCGGGTACCTATTCATCGGTAAGTGAACAGATGCATCAGGTGAAAGGAAACAGATGCAAACGTCTTGTTCTGAGATTCGAACTCTGGTTTATGTCGACTGTGATGCGACCTGCACCATAGGTCACCTCTATGGGTGGGTTCAGAGGCCTATTTAACAGCCAGGACAGGCCTATATTGACTACAATATAGTCATATCTACCTTTAATAATATATAATAATATATATAATATATAATATATATATCTTATATAATAATATATAATATATATATCTTATATAATAATATATAATATATACAATAATAAATAATAATATATATAATATATAATAATATATGTAATAATATATGTAATACTATATAATAATATATACCTTTAAACTTGATTGAATTACACTGTTAAAGATTAAAATGCTGACATCACAGAATTCCATTTTTATATAAATAAGTCGAGTCAGACTAATTTCGAAATCTCTTGTAAATGTTATTTAAAACAATTAAGAAATGTGTTCCTGGTGCAGGAAGGCATTGTTCTTGTCCCACGCTTGGGCGAGCCGCTGTTGATGTTACGGCGCCAGCGACATTTACAACACCATCCCCGCGGAACTTGCTGCGGGGGGGGGGGCTACAATTATAACGTTTCTATACACTAGACCAAACACTCTCCGAACAAATCCACAAGGGCCGTGACGAGGATTCGAACCTACGTCCGAGTTCATCCCAGACGTTGATTTAATCGACTGAGCTACGACATGGTCGAAAAGAGTTGAAACCAGAACCTGCTTGATTACCTACTTGATGGAGTTCTGGGAGTTCTTCTACTCCCCAAGCCCGGCCCGAGGCCAGGCTCGACTTGTACACTCGAGTTATACCTAATTTACTGGATCCTGCAGCCTCTCCGAGACACAAACTAGGGTTTTACACAACTCCCCTCTGCACTCGAGATATGTCAATAGGCCGTTCTCCCTCTTCGCCCTTACTTCATTACTACTCTCTCTCTTCATCTGTCCTGTGCGCCTTGTACTTCACACACAGCTCCCCAACCCCCACCCCACCCCTTCCCCCCTCCCGTTCCACCCCAGACCGTCCACAAGTGGTTGGGCACCATTCCTTTCCCCCGTCCCATCCCAAGTCCTTGTCCTGACCCCTTCCCAGTGCTATATAGTCGTGATGGCTTGGCGCTTTCTCCTCATAGTTCCCTCCCTTTCCCCCCTCCACCCCCAACACCAAGACTAATGAGGGCTATCTTGGTTATCTTGCGATGATTTCGGGGCTTAGCGTCCCCGCGGCCCGGTCCTCTACCAGGCCTCATTTTTGTTACACATCCCCCAGGAAGCAGCCCGTAGCAGCTGTAGCTAACTCCCAGGTACCTATTTACTGCTAGTGTAACGGGGGGGGTGGGGGAAATAGCTCTTTCATATATATAAATAGTATATATATATATATATATATATATATATATATTATATATATATATATATATATATTAATATATAATTTCGTTCGCCTTCCTCACTCCAAGAACAAAGTAATAATAAAACAAATGAAGATACTGACACCCATTTTTCTTTCAAGACCAATGATGGTGTTTTGTAAACTGTCGTGGTTGACATGATGCATGTAGACGTGAGCCGTGATCCTGGTGTCAACACTGCTCACCACTGACACACTGCAGCCTTCACTTGACACCCTCATACTTGACACCTCCAGGGTGACACACTGGCTGGTGCACGTTCATACGAGGCAGCTCCTATTGGTCCATACGAGGCAGCTGCTATTGGTCCATACGAGGCAGCTCCTATTGGTCCATACGAGGCAGCTCCTATTGGTCCATACGAGGCAGCTCCTATTGGTCCATACGAGGCAGCTCCTATTGGTCCATACGAGACAGCTCCTATTGGTCCATACGAGGCAGCTCCTATTGGTCAATACGAGGCAGCTCCTATTGGTCCATACGAGGTAGCTCCTATTGGTCCATACGAGGCAGCTCCTATTGGTCAATACGAGGCAGCTCCTATTGGTCCATACGAGGCAGCTCCTATTGGTCAATACGAGGCAGCTCCTATTGGTCCATACGAGGTAGCTCCTATTGGTCCATACGAGGCAGCCCCTATTGGTCCATACGAGGCAGCTCCTATTGGTCCATACGAGGCAGCCCCTATTGGTCCATACGAGGCAGCTGCTATTTATAACCAGCCAAACATATTTATACATATGTGTAACAGAAGTGTCACTGCATTTCCTTGTCCGTCGCGCCCGTCGCCAAACCTCTCAAGTACACACGTCATCGTCTCCTCTCGAGGGCCTGAGAAACATTCCTCAGCTCTCCTTACAAGGAGGCGAAGTTGGCGAGGAATGTTGATAACGCTGCAGGTAGAGGTTGGTGCTCTTGTAAGGCTCCCTGTCTCTCTC